CAAAAGCACATCAAATTGCAAGTAGATAAATAGGTACCGCTCCGGCGGGAAGGTAAACGGTTTTTCCGTGCGCTGCTCTGGTTCACCAGAAGCGGCTTAGTCATGCTGGCCACATGACCCGGAAGCTGTCTGTGGACAAACAACGGCTCCCTCAGCCTATAGAGCGAGATGAGCACACAAGCCCAGAGTCGGTCACGACTGGACCTAATGGTCAAGGGTCCATTTACCTTTTACCTGTCATGAGCTTTTGTTGTAAGGCAGATTACAGATTTAGAACAGGGGTGGTCAGAAAGTAGTTTGAGATCTATTTGAACATCTCTGGCTGATTTACAGTAAATAAGGATTTCTGACTTTTTGTTGCTTGACAAAATCTACCCCACCCCAAATTAGGCTGCCGAAACAAAGAAAGTGTGAAGGGAAACTGGGTCTGGATTTTTGTGTGTGAAAGGACTGTGAGCTCAGTTCTAGTACTGAAGACACTTACCTGGCTGAAGAGGTTCCTGTTATTTCATTTTATCTTGTACTTGGCTGCTATTAGAACCTTGGGGTTCTAGACAAAAGAAAAGCAGATCCCACAACCTTGAAGGCTACTCACCTCTGATCTAGAGTTTAAAAAATGTTCTAATTTCTAGTTTCAGCAAGGAAGCAATATCGCTTAAAATCCCTTGATAGAATTCGTAATTTTTAGTTGCAGGCAATCCATACTGGTTCATAAACACAAGAGGCATTGCACTTTCGTTGCCATCTTTCTGAAAGGAAAGGAAATGAATTACCAGTTAAAACAAAATCGAAAGGTCGCAGAGAATGAAAGTGCATTCTGGTAGTCAACCCAATCTAAGTCAGGAATCAGGACCTGAAGTGTTAAACAGAATATAAGCCTCATTCATCTGCTGATTTTATACAGATTTCACCCAGGTCTCTGAAAATCAGAAGATTGCTGTGGTGCCAAATTATTCAAACAGATCAGAAATCCTGATAGGGAATTATTGAGCATTTTTGCTCAAGTTCTGTCAACCAGCAGAGATAAATCCACTATTCAAATGCCAACACTGCCCTCTAGCGATTAGATGAAATGAATATACATTGCTTATTTGTTTTCAATGCCGACTCCTCAGTCTTGTGTTCCTATGTGCTCAAAGTCCTCCAACCTGGAATGCCTTCCTCATTCTTTCAAGTAAAGGGAATGTGAAATATACTCAGAGTCGCAAAGTGATTTCATGCTCTTTATTCAGCTCATAGTGGTGAGGAGGAATGAATGAAAGTCCCCTCACAGTATCTGCTTTATATACATTATTTACACAATGGGCTGCACATGATTGGCTAATTCCGGAATTCTACTGTAAGCCAATCAGGTTGTGGATTCACTTCTATCTGGAGAGGATTGGTGTTTCCTGCCAACCAATCATATGCTGCATTGTTCTAGGAACCAAATCCAGACTGCTGCAATCTTGAATCCTATTGTTCTAGACCAATCAGACTGCCCTGCATTTTGGATCCTATTGTTTCTAGGACATCAGACTGCTACGTTCTGGATCCTATTCAACTCAGTACATACAGGAATGTAAAGACATAAAAGGAGGCGGCTGGATCAGGCAATGTCCGTTCTAGCCCAGCATCCTGTCCTCGCAGCAGCCAACAGATTTTCTGTTGGAGCACACAGCAGGAACTGCAGAACAGGATCATTCTCCCCTCCTGCAGTTTCCAGGAGCATTGCTATCATCATCATCATTTTTATTTGTAGTGCCGCCTTTCCACAGTTTAAAAAACAATGCTCAAAGACGCTCTACAGCATAACAGATTTACATAATTACAAAAATCTAAACAATAAATACACCACATCCCAAAAATGCAAACCAAATGGGAAACAATTTCCACATAAATCTAAATCTAAAACTAAGAATACAGCATTAATATCACAGTTTAAAATGACATAGGTAAAAAATAACAGCAATTTAAATAAAAAACAAAAACAAAACAGAGCCCTCTCTGCCCAGCAGCAGCAGCGGCAATGGCAGCAGTCCTTTATAGAGCCCATCAGGCCCCGCCCTGGGCCAGGTGGTGAGGGCAGGACTGGGACCCTCAGGCGCTGAGCAGGGGAGTCCTCCTGGGTGGTAGCCACAGCTAGTAGCCACATATAGCCTTATCTCCCATTAATTTATCTCAGGCATAGGCAAACTCAGCCCTCCAGATGTTTTGGGACTACAACTCCCATCATCCCTGACCACTGGTCCTGTTAGCTAGGGATGATGGGAGTTGTAGTCCCAAAACTGCTGGAGGGCCACGTTTGCCTATGCCTGATTTATCTCATCGTCTTTTAAAACCATCCCATTTGGTCACTGCCACTGTGGTGGTGAGTTCCACAGTTACGCTTTGCATTGAGTGAAGAAGCCCTTTTATCAGTCCTGAATCTTCCAACATTCTGCCTCAAAGGGTGACTATACATTTCCACACTCCTGTGCTTGAATGGCTTTGATTTAATGGCGGTTCCCATGCACACACATACTAGAACATTCACAGATATTTTTATAGCAGTTGCAAAATGGTATAGCAGCTTTCGATTTGTGACACTTAGATGGGCAAGGTAGTGATTAGCCTGGAGTGCTTTGTAGGTTAATAGACACCCCCTCCCCACAAATAAACTCATCACGTTACAAATACCCATCTTGCCAGAGTTCAAATTTGGTCTGTCTGTTAACTCTCTGTTGTCAACTGCCAAGAATTTGGAGCTTATGCTGTCTGTGACATCATTCATGACAGCAGAATGTTATGTTTGCCTTCAGCTCCAGTTGTCTCCGTGCCAACAGCAAGGGGTCAGGAGTATAAATCCCTCCAACTACAGAGCTATCAATGCAGGAATCTCCAGCAAATTTTATTCTTGCTCTCCTGCCCTATGCCTAATTGATAGTTGTGCGTAGCTGGAAGCCTGCTTGCAGAAGTTAGTTCTAATAGATCTCAATGAACAATTCCAATGAATGATCCAAAGTTATTCAATAAATTCACCTCCAACCCCCCAACTCCTTTCATCAGTTTATAGCATTTTTATAATTCAAACCCCTTTTGAAATGTTCTGTTATCTCTGGATTATTCTTCAAGTTTCTTTGGCCTTTCCTATGTAGAGGTTGTTGGTTCATCAATTAATTTTACTGGGTAGTGGGCAGTGTCAAATAAACTCTACTTATTCCCAAGCACTTCCCCTATGATAAAAGTCAATATAGCCCCAATATTTAGTTATTACCTGCCATGTTGATCCACCTTGCCAGAGTTCAGACATGGGCTGACTTTAACTGCTTCTAACTCTGCCAAGACTTTTGAGCATAACCCGTTTATGACATCATGTGTGACATCAGAATGTCCATGTTTGAATGCTGCCCAGGCTGTCACCATGCCAACAGGGGTGGCCAGTAAACCTCTGCAACTAGAGAATCAATCAGCCTGACTATCCAATACCTGTGGGTTATTGTTTATGCTTTCTTGATCCTTTTTATTATTCAGGAATAACTGGTCCTCCAAATAATTTTAATCAGTATGAATATTCAGATCTACAATTTCCAGAGATCCCTGGGAAGAGGGAATGGCTGTTAAACCCCTCTAAGAATTGTAGGTCTGTGAGGGGAACCAGGTCTCCTAACAACTTTTGGCTCCCTTAATAAACTACATCTCCCAAGATCCTTTGGGGGAAGTCATGACTTTTAAGTGCAGCACAAAACCTTTCTGAACCAGTACAGTATTAGGCTAGCCACCCCACCCCAGCAGCGTCTTTCAGTTCTGCATTAAACTCTATTGAACTCAGTAGGACTTCTGCATAGGCATGCATAGGATGGCAGCATGGCACAGTGGTTAGAGTGGACTATGACCAGGGTTCAAATCCTAACTGGGCTACAAAGCTCACTGGGTGAGCTTTGGGGGCCAGCTGCTGCCTCTCAGCCTAACCTATTTCACAGGGTTGGTAGGTAAAGGTAAAGGTACCCCTGCCCGTACAGGGCCAGTCGTGTCCGACTCTGGGGTTGCGCGCCCATCTCGCTTAAGAGGCCAGGGGCCAGCGCTGTCCGCAGACACTTCTGGGTCACGTGGCCAGCGTGACAAGCTGCATCTGGTGAGCCAGCGCAGCACACGGAAAGCTGTTTACCTTCCCGCTGGTAAGTGGTCCCTATTTATCTACTTGCACCCGGAGGTGCTTTCAAACTGCTAGGCTGGCAGGCGCTGGGACCGAACGACGGGTGCGCACCCCGCCGCGGGGATTCGAACCGCCGACCATGTGATCGGCAAGTCCTAGGCGCTGAGGTTTTACCCACAGCGCCACCCGCGTCCACACACAGGGTTGGTAGGGGAGGATTAAACGAGGATTAAGAAAACCATGTTTTCTGCCCTGAGCTGCTTGGAGAAAAACGGTGGGATATAAATGCAGCAAACAGATAAAGGCTGCACTTCCTAAAGCTCTTTTAAAAAAAATTAACCCCAAAGAAGCGAATAGTGGTGGGTATAGATCAAGGGAAATCATAGTCCCAATCGATTCTGCTTTGGTCAGACCACACCTGAAATACTGTGTCCTGTTCTGGGCGCCCAAATTTAATAAGGCTATTTGAAAAGCTGGAACATGTGCAGAGGGCAACTGAGATGATCTGGAAACCTAGCCTTATGAAGGAGCTTTCAAGAGAGGAGACTGAGCGGAGATACGATAGCCATCTTCAAATATCCGAATGGCTGTCCCCTGGAAGAGGGAACAAGCATCTTTTCTCCTGCTCTGGAGGGTAGAACTCGAACTCATGGCTTCAAGTTACAAGAAAGTTACAACATCGAGAAGAACTTTCTGACGGTAAGAGCAGTTTGACTCCCTCGGGAGCTTGCGGACTCTCCTTCCTTGGGGTATTTTAAAGCAGAGCTTGGCTGGCCATCTGTCAAGGATGCTCTCAGCCGAGATTCCTGCATCGCAGAGGGTTGGGCTAGAGGACCCTCAGGGGGCCCTCTATAATTCAAAGTGAAGGGCGGCCAAGGCGCCTTCCCCCCCAGAGGGAAAAACATGGCGGAGCCACCGCCTCCTCTGGGAAGGGATGCGAAGGTCGACACCTGAAACCAAACTAGGCGGGGACTTCTCCCCCCTTCCCCCGAGGAAGCGGCGCGGCAAAGGAGAGCCCTGGCGGCCTTCCTCGCCTCTGGCCTGTAGGAGGCAAACGGCTCCCAGCGCCTGGGCGGAAGAAGGCGGGCTCTCGGCGGGGCCGCGATGGCTGACGAGGGCGGGCAGCCTCCGCCGAAAGGGCCCTGCTGCCGCGCCGGCCTCCCCGCGCGATATTTCTGCACGGCGGGCCGCGGGATGGAGCCTTTCCTGCTGAGGGAGGTGCGGACTCGGCTGGACGCCGCGCAGGTGAGGCCCTCCGGCCGGGCTGCGAGGAAAGTCCGGCGAATCCCTTTGGACCGACAGCTTCGCTCCGCCTCCTTGCCGGCGGAGAGGAGGGTGGGTGGCTAAACACGCTCCCTTTGTCACTTCGGTGCAGACGAGCGAGCTGTCCCGGGGTGAGGTTGCTTCGTCTGCACGGCCAGGGCCGGATTGACGTATAAGCTGCTAAACAAGCTATAGCTCATTGGGGGGGGGGGCAAAAAAATGTAAAGGTAAAAAAACTAGATGCACATTTCCAAAATATAAGATAAAAAACAAATAAAATCATCATTTTAAGTTAGAGCTTAATAATTATTTCACTACGGTCATACCTTGGGTTACAGCCGCTTCAGGTTGCGTTTTTTCGGGTTACGCACCCCGCGAAACCCGGAAGTACCAGAACGGGCACAGAAGCGCTAAATTGTGCTTTGCGCATGCGCAGAAGCGCCAGATCGCAACCCGCGTGTGCGCAGACGGCCGCTGCGGGTTGCGAACGTGCATCCCACATGGATCACGTTTGCAACCCGAGCGTCTACTGTATTAATATACTTGTTCTTAATTGTATTTCACTATTAATATACAGTGGTACCTCAGGTTACATACGCTTCAGGTTACATTCGCTTCAGTTTACAGACTCCGCTAACCCAGAAATAGTGCTTCAGGTTAAGAACTTTGCTTCAGGATGAGTGCAGAAATCGTGCTCCTGCGGCGTGGCGGCAGGAGGAGGCCCCATTAGCTAAAGTGGTGCTTCAGGTTAAGAACAGATTCAGGTTAAGTACGGACCTCTGGAACGAATTAAGTACTTAACCCGAGGTACCACTGTACTTCTTAATTGTATTTCAGTTCAACAATTACTTTGATAAAATACATATTTTGCTTTGTGCAAATGGCTTCAGATACCTATTAGGTCCATAAATTACCATATAGCATATATTCAACACAAAAAACAGCGACAATTTGTTGTTGACAAAGGACAGCTGGACATATAAAGGGCCCATTACCTTCAGTAGCTTAGGGCCTCATCAAATCCGGCCGTGTGCATGGCCTCTCCCTTCTGGAGCCTCTCTGCCTGTTTGCTCAGAAGGGAGAGCTCCCCATACCCTCCGTGGTCAGTGGGGCGTTGCCCACAAAACAGTGTTGAGGACGCATTGAAAGCACATGGCTAGTTCTCCGCTCACCCCAAACCACAGAAGAATCCTGGGAAATGTAGTTTAAGGGTGCTGGGGATTCTAGCTCTCTGAGGGGCAACTGTGGTTCCTGCTGTGATCCTTTGGGAACAGTCGCGTGCATTCTGGGTGTGCATTAAGTGTAATTATTATTATTATTATTATTATTATTATTATTATTATTTATTAATTTATATACCGCCCTTTACCTGGGGATCTCAGTGAGGTTCACAGAATAAAATCAAGGTATAAAACCACAAAATACATAATAAAAATAAAAACAACCCAATAGCCCCCGCCCCCACAAAAAAACACATTTTAAAAGGGCATAGGACATAGGTAGGTCCGGGGGCTGGATTCGGCCCAGTCGCCTTCTTAATCCAGCCCGCAGGCGGTCTGGGAATCAGCATGTTTTGACATGAGTAGAAAGTGTCCTTTTATTTATTTAAAATGCATCTCTGGGTTACTTGTGGGGCATAGGAATTCGTTCTTTTCCCCCAAAAATATGTTCCAGCCCCCCACAAGGTCCGAGGGAGGGTGGACCAGCCCCCTGCTGAAAAAGTTTGCTGACTCCTGGCATAGTGTATCAATCAGATCAACCAAAGGCCTGGTTAAAAAGGAACGTTTTTGCCAGGCGCCTAAAGGTGTATAATGAAATCTCCAGGCAAACTTCCCTGGGAAAGTATAAGGTGCTAGTCCTCCCAGTGTCTGCATCCCGGTCATAACTGGGACTGGGACTTCATCCTAGCAGTGTAACAATAAAACGGCTGGCACATTTGCAAGGCTAAGCAAAGGTCCACTGTGGTTTCAAATCCCATGTTCAAATCCCATGTGGCTTCAGCCCATTTTGTTAGTGTTGTGAGCTGCTTTGAGGACTAAAGTAGAAGAGCAGGGTATAAATCAACTGGCTAAATCATAATAAACAAATCATTTATGGGCAATGCCATTTTCAGATTTACTATATAATCAGTGTACATTCTCTGTCAAGGTGGAATATGTATCGGGAAAAGTCTTCTTCACCACCAGCGCAGAGCTGAGTATGCTGAAGGAGCTGAAGTCTGCGGAGCGGTTGTTTTTGCTGCTGAATAAATATCCTCCACTTTCCATCTCCAGAAATAAAGGTATTTTATTTTTTTACTGTAGTCTTGTGGGTTTGCCTCGTGCTGGCCTATCTCCTGTAACCTTCCACAGCGAGAAAGGCCACCCTATGGCCTTCCTGCCTCTTTGTTAAAAGGAGTCAGTGCTGAGTAGCTTTGGGGTTCAATGTGGTAAGCGGTCGTTCAGATTCCTGCTCAGCTATTTATTTTTCATAGCTTGCATCTTGCCCTTTATCTGTAGACCTCGGGGCAGGTTATAACCGAGAAAGTAAACACAACAAGCAATAATAAAAACTGCTAAATCTGTCCGTTCAGTGAATTTTGTGGACCGGGACTGTTTTTCATCTAAGGCCTGTCCCCCCAAAAAAAGCACATTTTCAGTTGTTCTGCTCTTTCATGCTCTGCTTTCTCCTCTTCTTTAAACACACTTTTTACCACTGAATTGGACCAAATGGCAAACCTAATTGCCGTTTGGTCCAATTCAGTGGTAACCTTGTGTCTTCCTGGGGGAAAGCGGTGGGACAAACCCAGAGTGTACATTTGTTGGGCAGATACAGCTTGCCTTTCAGGTGCTCGCCCAGCTTCAGCTGCTATTCATCCCAAGTGAACAGCATGTTACAAGGCAAGTTACAGGTTACTGGTGGTGCCATCACAGCCATCAGCAGCACAGACCCATACTCTGGCCCCTGAGGGTTCTCCTAAGCAGTTCATTGAGGTCAGACAGGTCCTCAGCTAGCTGCTGGATCTTGGGTGAGGATTCTTGGGGGGGCATCATCATCTAGAGGGGCTTTCCCAGTGTGCTTCACTGGGAGCTCAGGTTCTTGGCGGCTGCTGCTGTTGCAGCACGGTAGGCAGGTATGGTACTGAGCCAGCTCACAGGCAGCATGGCCATCGCAGCAGCTGCAGGAGGTGGTAGGAAGGAGCCGCCAGGGGCTTCCTCTGTCTTCAGCATGCAAGCTGCAGAGGGCCCCAAAGGAACTAACTCTCCACCCAAGACATCTCTTTGGCTATGATCCTCATTTGGTGTACTTGGATAGGTGGACACTATCTCAAGATCTCACTTACCTAAGTGGGTTGTTGTGAAGCTTAAGATGCTGCTTGGCTCTTGTTGGAATAAGGACGAGATGCGTATTCAATAAATAGGGAAATTGAAAGGGGCCTGTCATAGCAAGTCCCTGCTCCCCTCTCCCTCTCAACCCCATTTTGAATAAAAATTGTGTTGAATGTCTAGGGTAGAGCTTTCCAAACGTTTCCTAGCACACTTTTTAGACATCATTTTGCGAAACAGTAATTCAGTGTTACTAGCAAACAGGAGGTTAAACTGAACGCTTCTTTCCAGCCCCGGGAGCAGTGCAGGGAGAGTTCACACAACACACCTGCACGCTGCAGCTGACACACTAACGTGCTGTGACACATGGTTTGGAAAACTCTGGTCTAGGGTAGTGTAGGCCTCCTTTCCTTTTACTGAAGGAATGGGTTTTTGAAACCCATTCCTTCATTACCTTGCTTGTTTAGCTCCTATTGCTCATGAACATTTAGGCAACCACATTGGGGCATTAGATCTACACTGGTGTACATGTGGAATTCTAGAGTCTGAGCTGTATGTTCACCAAGGTGTATGAACTAGTGTACCATCATTATCACACTTTGACACATCTCCAGGATCCCATACAGCTGGTGTTTGAGGAATAATCCCCCTTTTATGAAAACAGAAAACAGTTATTTGATAGCTTTCAATGCTGTTTGCTTAATTAAGAAGTAAGAAATCCCTTATTATTTTAGTCAAAAGCAGGAATGAAAACATTCATTGGTTCTCTGAATAGCTAAAACATAACCATAGGCTTCATACAAGTTTAACACTTACTTAAAAATAATATCACAATCCTAGCTATGCTTACCCCAAAGTAAGTCACACAGAATTTCAATGGGACTTATTCCCGTGTATTTGGGTGTAGGATTGCAGTCTAAGCTTGCTTGAATGTATCTCTTGAACACAAGCTCTCCAGCTGATTAAGGCAGCTTAGTGGCTTTCTGGTTCTTAGGTTTGGTTCTTAGGTCTTAGTATACCAGGCCCAGGAAGGAGGAAAGTGGCTTGCTAGGCAAAGTCTGGCGGATTAGATAAGATGGGGAGGAAGCATGGGTCTTAGGAGAGAAAAGTATTGCATTCCCTCACCCCCTAAGAAAACAGTCCTTGGAATATATTCTAATACTTCAACATACAGTGGTGCCCCGCAAGACGAACGCCTCGCAAGACGGAAAACCCGCTAGACGAAAGGATTTTCCGTTTTGGAGGCGCTTCGCAAAACGAATTTCCCTATGGGCTTCCTTCGCAAGACGAAAGCCCATAGGGAAATCTCCGGGACAGCGGGGAAGCGCAGCGCGTTTTCCCCACTGTCCTCGGACCTCCTCCGAAGGCTGGCGGTGGGGCGGAGAGACCTCCTCCCGCCGCCAGGCTTCGGAAGGCTGTAAAGCAGCCCCCCGCGACCCTCTCCCGGCTGGAGAGGTGACGTGCGCCTATGGCAGGAGCCTCCATAGGCGCCCGTCACCTCTCCAGCTGGGAGAGCGCGTGCGGGGCTAAAGCAGCCCCCCGCGACCCTCTCCCAGGTGACGCGCGCCTATGGCAGGAGCCTCCATAGGCGCCCGTCACCTCTCCAGCCGGGAGAGCGCGCGCGGGGCTAAAGCAGCCCCCCGCGACCCTCTCCCGGCTGGAGATGTGACGCGCGCCTATGGCAGGAGCCTCCATAGGCGCCCGTCACCTCTCCAGCTGGGAGAGCGCGCGCGGGGCTAAAGCAGCCCCCCGCGACGCTCTCCCAGGTGACGCGCACCTAGGGCAGGAGCCTCCATAGGCGCCCGTCACCTCTCCAGCCGGGAGAGCGCGCGCGGGGCTAAAGCAGCCCCCCGCGACCCTCTCCCAGGTGACGCGCGCCTAGGGCAGAAGCCTCCATAGGCGCCCGTCACCTCTCCAGCCGGGAGAGCGCGCGCGGGGCTAAAGCAGCCCCCCGCGACGCTCTCCCAGGTGACGCGCGCCTAGGGCAGGAGCCTCCATAGGCGCCCGTCACCTCTCCAGCCGGGAGAGCGCGCGCGGGGCTAAAGAAGCCATAGCCCCGCGACCCTCTCCCAGCTGGAGAAGTGACGCGTGACTATGGCAGCAGCCTCTGAAGGATGCTCCGAAGCCTGGCGGGGGGCGGAGAGACCTTCTCCCCGCGCCAGCCTTCGGATGGCTGTCCTGAAGACTTGGGGTGGGAGAAGGGTTTTCCTTCCCACCGCCAACATTCAGAATGCTGTTCTGAATGTTGGCGGTGGGGAGGAAAAACCCTCCTCCCACGCAAGCCCCGGGAACAGAGGGAAAGCGCTGCGCGCCTTCCCCTCTGTTCCCGTACCTGTGCTGAAGGCTTGCGGTGGGGAGAAAAGCCCTTCTCCGCACCGCCAGCCTGGCAAGCGGTTTCCATAGGAACGCATTAATTGATTTTCAATGCATTCCTATGGGAAACCGTGCTTCGCAAGACGAAAAACTCGCAAGAAGAAAAAACTTGCGGAACGAATTAATTTCGTCTTGCGAGGCACCACTGTATACAGTTTATTGTTATGTGCTATTTATGTGTTAAGGTTACATGAGTTTAGATTCTTCATTTCTTTTAGGCAGAGTAATTCATGACGTTCAAAAACTTGTAAATGAGACTCCCAGGCATTGGCTGGATATGGTTACTCTTTGGAGAAGTCTTCATTGCCAGGAGGTGAAAGAAGAAAACAGGTGTGAGGAACGTCCAGACTCCCAGAAACGGAAGCTGGAAGAGGAGGGCAGCATCCAAAATAAAAAACAGAAGAGAGAACTAATATCGGAGACAGTTTCTGGTGAAACTCAAATAGAAAACCAACAGAGCTGTAATGCCTCCGAGGTTCATAACAGCAACAGCTTGTCTTCGGGCAGATCGTTTTTGGAAAAGACTCCTGAACTTACTCAAGAGAAATCTGGCGAGAGCAGCAGTTGCTTCAGCTTCAGAGTTTCCTGCCGATGTAGTGGAGCCCTTGCAAAAATATTTACTGCTCAGGTTTGTGGGGATTTGTTTGGCTACTGTGAGAACAGGATGTGGGACTAGATGGGCCTCTGGTCAGAATCCAGCAGAGCTATTCTTATGTTCTTATCTACAAACAAGATGCATGCAGCTGCTTTTAACACAATCCCAACATACAGCATCAGGCTGCTAATGAAATAGTTAAATGTTCTTGATTGTGCGCTGCCAGCCCAGATTATTATGCAGGCGGCTGAGAGTTTATTTCTTCGTTATGCATAATCAGTAGTCATTAAGTTTTCTGAATGGCAAGCGCATAAGGAAAAAATAGCACTGCTTGAGTGGGCTGTATAGGAATCATTAGCATTCTGCATCCTAAATAATATTTTTAAAAGCAAGCTGAGCTTTACAGACTGTCTTCTGTACCATCTTTTGGAATTCCTATTAATTGGCAAAGGGGTGTGTGTGTGGAGTGCTGAATTACGCTTGATTATCCATACTCGAGATAAATTTCAAGACTGCTATTCTGAAGGTTCGGTTATCAAGCAAAAATAACGTCCTGTCTTGTAAAGTAGAATGCTCTTAGTAGATGTTGATGAGAGCGTGGAAGAAGCAATTAATTCCGTTCTTTGAACTCTTTTTCAAAAATGTCTTCGGTTTGGAAGAATATTCCATGAAATAATTGCTTCCTCCAAGTAATTATGGATTGGGTCATTTCAAAATTTCAGTCCTTAATGTGGACTACGCTTATCAGGGAGCTGCTTCAAAGAAAGCATGCATAAGTTGAGACTGCAAGATCTTTTGGCCCAAGCCACCATGGTCAAGGGTGCTGGGAACTGTTTCTAACATAACAGGATATGGAAGGCGCCAGGTTAGCTTCCACTGATCTCAGCCTAACCCATCTTCTTTTCTTCCTGGCCATTTCAAGTTTCAGGAACAATTTGTCATGCCACATGCTCAGGTCTCTCTCATTGCTGATTTGTCTTTTCAGGAGATGGGGAGGATAATTGCAACGGCTCTTATGAAGAATTTTGGATGGAAAGCAGATTTGAGAAATCCTGACATAGAGGTAACTAAATTAATACATTGAAATGTGGGTAATCTCTGGATTCTTGCTCCTCAGTTAAAGGTCTTGATCTGTCTGCGTTGAAGTTCTTTGTACACTTAAGTTCCTCTCAAAGTCCCTTTGAGGTTAGGCTTTGGGAATCAAACCAATGTGTCCTTCTAACCCAGTATGCTGTCTCCAACAATGGAAAGATCCAGGTACCTTAAGAGGTTTTTAACACAGCAAGGTACTAATAGAGCACAGTGATCCTGCAATAACCTGTCTCTGTATGCTTAATGTCTGAAGACCTTCAACCAGTTGGCAGTTATGAGATTCTCTTATTTATGAATGGCAGCCCTGTCCAAATTTTATATTTTGTAAATTCACTTAAAATATACTAGAATTAATGCATAGATCTGTACCTGCAGCACCGCACTCTAAAAGGGGAAACTTTTGCCACCTGGGTGAAATTAACCCCTTTGATTCCTATTAAAAGCAGGGATGTTGCTAGACTATCATTGCCATCATCCCTAATAAAAGTTTCTGGTCAGCAACATCCAGAGTTGTTTTAAAATTAGTCTTATTCTGTAATTCACCTAACAATAAGCAAAGACGAAAGAGCAAAGATAATGAGTTTTTAAATAACTTCAAAGTAGGATAAAGAGGATGCTAGCTGGATATCTAAAAGAGGAGTTACATGCATAAAGGTCTGCAAAGTAGTGAAATCTCCTAGGCAAGAAGTTGGACAAGGGAGTGGTGATTTAATCAGAACTTTAGTACTAAGGAGCCAAGAAGGAAAATTGAAAGAAAGCAAAGAAATTAGATATGGAAGAGGGCAAATCTGTGAAGATGCTTTAATCTCAGAAGTTTAAACGAAATGCAACAATAAAGGAAGCCTGTGAAGAGAATCAAGATTAAAGCAAAAAGAAAGAAAAATGAACAAAAAAATTTAAAAGAGAGAGAAGAGGCTTAAACCAGAAGAAACAGGATAAGCAGACATTTCAATTATCAACAAAGGATAGATTGAAAAACTGGATATGAACTGTAGTAGAACCAATAGATAAAAGACAAATTTTAAACTATAAAACTGATACCTGCATAGTTCATGCTTGTGGCAGTGCTTTTTTTAAGAAGAAGAATAATAATAATAATAATAATAATAATAATAATAATAATAATAATAATTTATTATTTATACCCCGCCCATCTGGCTGGGTTTCCCCAGCCACTCTGGGCGGCTTCCAAAAGAATATTAAAATACTGTGATACATCAAACATTAAAAGCTTCCCTAAACAGGGCTGCCTTCAGATGTCTTCTAAAAGTCTGGTAGTTGTTGTTCTCTTTGACATCTGGTGGGAGGGCGTTCCACAGGGAGGGCGCCACTACCGAGAAGGCCCTCTGCCTGGTTCCCTGTAACTTGGCTTCTCGCAGTGAGGGAACCGCCAGAAGGCCCTCAGTGCTGGACCTCAGTGTCCGGGTAGAACGATGGAGGTGGAGACGCTCCTTCAGGTATACAGGTATACTGGACCGAGAAAACATTTTTCATATATATTTTCCTTATAGAATTTGCAGCCCAGCCCTACAGACTTCCTGCCAAAACCCTGTGCTAAACTTCCATGGATGGTGTAGTGCTGTCTTTGAAACAGCTAATGCCACTCTCAGCCAGGCAGAAACAAATGAGGAGTTCAACACTGCATTGGGTTCTTCTCCACAATTCTTCCTCTGTTCTTCAATCCTCAGCACCAGTATAAACATATGCACTGGACGATGCACCATGGTGCAACCTCAGATTGCACAACTGCAACTTCTGTGCAAATCTGAGGATTCCAGGGATTGCCTTTGCCCACAAGGTGTACCTATTTGATACAGATAGCCCCCAGTATAATAACTTTTGTATGAGAATCAGATTGCTTGCTAGTTTAAATTTTAAAAAATACCATTGAAAATATCATTGAGATAGCACATTATATATATCTATATATCTATATATATATCATCAGTTCAAAACAGCTAAAGCTGAAATGCAAGTAACTCTTCATTGTAAGATTCCATTGCCTTTCAGATCTTTGTGCATCTAAATGACATTTACTCTGTGATTGGGATTCCTGTTTTCAGGTAAATACTGCATTAAAAACTACAGTTCATAGTCCAAAAAGACACTTTTAATTGAAGTAAATTTCTGAGGAGTTACTATGTTTCCCTGTTGTATATAATCAACAAAGAGTCCCATGAGACCTTAAAAACTTGACATTTTAATAGTGGCACGAGGCTTTATGAATTACTGCCCCCTTAAATCAGATCTGTGGACTGTTATTCTCAGATGGCTGATGGATTAAAATAATATACATATACACTGGTGCAGAGTGCGGAAATTCTAAGCAGTAGGACCAAACTGCCATGAAACGCAAGGAGTAACAGTGAGTTTGTTGCATTTCTCTGCAGAGCCCAGATTAGATGTATACAAGATAAGAACAGGCTGGTATAGCAGCAGTCACTGTGATGGAACTGTTGTGCTTGCTGACAATAAGAAGGGAGACAATTACTTTAGTGGAAAAGATCTTTCCAATTTCACTTCAAAAGACTTCTGAATTAAAGTATGGTGACTTGTGAGGTCAGCTCCAGAATGTTCTGGGATGTTTAAATGTGACCAGTGACTGCTGTCTTTTGCATTTCATCATGGACTTTTGGTCCCGCTGTTTGCAAAGTTATTTTCCTTCCCCTGTACCCATGTGTGTATATCTGTTTATCTAGACAATTTTCCACTGGTTCTTCGGGGCTATCTCCTCATCTGTTCTAGTCCTAAGTACTTAACAATATATCTCATTGTCATTTGTCTCTGTATCTTAAACAAGATTTGCCACCAGCTTATTCACAAATTTGAAGATTTGGGGATAAAAACTTCTTATCTATTTGGAATAACAATAGCGCATAGTTTTAGAGTTTGAGTATATTAGAATTCTGTGTGTGTGAGAGAGAGAGATACATTTTAATATGGTGTTTTGTTTGCAGACTTCCCTTGGCAAGCAGATCATATATCAAAACAGCTGGGTTGCGATCTACCGTTGCTTGGGCTATGGCATCCCTTGCTGAAATCAAGGTAATCAGCCAAGTAGAGTTTTAGTTGCTCTTTGGTTACTGAGCAATTCTCAGTAACCAGAATCTTGCCACTGGAAGTATTTTAAATGCAAGTGAGAGCTTGTGTAGTACAGTGGTGCCCCGCAAGACGAATGCCTCGCAAGACGGAAAACCCGCAAGACGAAAGGGTTTTCCGTTTGCGAGTTGCTTCGCAAGACGAATTTCCCCCCCTCCGGCCTTCAGAAGAGGTCCAGGAAGGCTGGCGGGGGCCGAAAGGCTTTGCTCCCCACCGCCAGCATTTTAAAAGCAGTCCAGGATAGCAGGGAAGTGCTTCCCGCTATCCCGGACGGCTTTTGAAGGCAGGCGGGGGAGCAAAGACTTTTGCCCCCCGCCGGCCTTCAGAAGAGGTCGGGGGACAGACTGTCCCCGGACCTGGTCTGAAGGCGGTTTCCATAGGAACGCATTGATTGATTTTCAATGCATTCCTATGGGAAACCGTGCTTCGCAAGACGAAAAACTCGCAAGAAGAAAAAACTTGTGGAACGAATTAATTTCGTCATTCGAGGCACCACTGTATTGTGAAGTGGCTAAGGTGGCAGTCAGCGTCCTGTTGACTTGGGAGTAAGCCCCAATGAACTCAAGCAGACTTAATTTCTGACTGAACACGCAAAAAATGGTGCTGTGTTTGGAGCTGTTTCTGCTTGGCTCCAGCCCCCAGGTGCATCATGGGAATTATAATGAATACCCTAAACCAGCAGCGGGGAACCCATGAGCCTCCAGATGTTTCCGGGCTCCCAACACCACCTTCCCTCTCCCTTGGCCATGCTGGCAGGGCTGGTGGGAGTTGGGAGTCCCTCAACTGCTGGAGGGCCGCCAGTCCGCCAGCCCTGCCCTAAGCCATTGTTGTAAGGCTTGCTGAAAAGAAACTGTTAATGAACGTATGGAAAATAATTCATCAGTGCCCCACAGGCAACGAGATATAAGTTTTATTGAGTCAGATACATTTAGGCATGTTTGTAGATTGGGCTACATGAGTTTACAACATGCCTTTCAACTGCAATAGCTCCATTGTTACTAATTTCACACAGTGCCCCAACTATGCAGAATGCTTTGCCATTCCCTTGCTATTGATGCTAGCAATATATGAGAATTGTAGAGCAATTTCACAGGTGGGCATGGGGTTCAGATATGGTCAGTTGCCCAAGGTGACCCACTGATCCTGCAAAAAAGGCAAGATTTCAATCCATGCTTCCCACATCTTTGTTTAAACAACAGCATCGTCTGCATTCTATGTCTGTTCTTGTGGTTTATTCTAAATGACTACAGCATTGACCAGAGGAGCCTAACCATGAAAGCTCAGTCTTGGTTTCTTGCTTCCTTTAATTTGGTAGATAAGATCTTTGTACCAGAAGACAGATTTCCTAATGTCTTGACAGATGGAATAGTGGTGTTGCTTTTCTTTCTTTCTTTCTTTCTTTCTTTCTTTCTTTCTTTCTTTCTTTCTCCACAGGCTGGTGCATTTGTACTGGATCCTACATGTGGGCTAGGAACAATACTCCTAGAAGCAGCAACCGAATGGCCTGTAAGCTCCGTCATAACAGCAAGTGTGATGTCTGGCTACAGATGGCATTGCAGTCTCTTGTGGCCAAATCTGTAAATAATGAACCTCTAATATGCAGCAGCGGGGCTGAAAATTAGGTTCCAAAATTTCTCTCTAGAAAAATGTTGACTTTTAGCTTAGGTGTTCATGTTAATACAAACTGCTGATTCCTTCTGGCTTGTGATTCTGCAGTTGGTGGTGTTAGTATGCCTAATTCTCAGTGATTATTTTGATAATTTATGGGGATTTAAAAAAAAACCTAATGTAAATGTTTGTTTTTTCTCTTCAGAATGTGCATTATTTAGGGACTGACATAAGTGATTCACAATTAGAAGGAGCCTACACTAATATTAAAGCTGCAGGCCTAGTGGATAAAATTGGGTTACTGAAAGCTTCTGTGACAGGTAAGAGCTGGCAAGGGTATCTGCAGTACTATACAAATCAATTTATTGCTTTATATTTCCTTTATTGTAATTGAAACGATGATTTGTGACTGCATCAAATACTTTGTGATGCCTTGTAGTCAGCTGTTAGTCCCTAATTAGAGTTATTATTATATACAAAGAAGAATAAAGGCTGAGCATTTCACATGCTTAAATGTCTAAATATCTCATAGCGTTGCCATTTCAGTCGGAAAGCATTGATGTTGTTCTTGCGGACATCCCCTTTGGAAAGAAGTTCAAAATAACAAAAGACATGACCTTACTGCCGGACGTTTTTCAAGAAATCGAAAGGTATGTGCGTTCTGATATCTGAGGCACAACAACTGCTACTGCAGATTGGGATCTGGCTAATGGTATTGCAGGCTAAACAAAGGAAAGTCACACTTCAACGTGGCCACGTTACCTACTAGATGTTGGGAATTTGAAGCAGAGAGATAAAAATCATGTTGCCAGTAGTACTCAGTTAGTTTTAAAAGGCCACGAGTGATTTTACAATAAACATCTCTAAGATTTGTCATGACTGCTGTATTGTTAGCCTCTGTACACTGAAAAGTCTTCTGCTGAATTAATAAATATTGTAGCTGCACAAGGATATTAATAAATATCCTCTGGTTGTTCCCTTTCAGGGTGCTTTGTGGTGGAGGGATTGTTGTGCTGCTACTTAGTCAAGAGCTCTACAAGCGCCTCTCTGGTGACATTGCCAGCAGTCTAGGTACTGAGAACTGCATCCCTGCAAGTCCTTGCAAACAAAGTGCCATGATGTCAGTCAGCAACGCCAAAGGTAACAGCTTTGGCACCACGACTGTTCCCCTATCAACTCAAGAGGCAGAGAGAGAAAACACCAGCGATAAAAGGACGACTTTTGGCTCTCTGGTGCTGGTGGAATCCTTGGAAGTTAGCCTTGGCAAAACAGGTGCATTCATATGCAAGTATAAGAAGGTAACAGGAGGTTTTGCAAGAAGTTAGCAGCATTCAGCAAGTGTGCATGAAGCCGTTTGGAGCTTCTGCTTCGAACCATATGGATCTGGAGCAGCTGAGCTTTGGTGAGCCCAGAGCTCAGCCATCAGAATTGCCGTAGCTTCCATACCTCCAGTGGGCCCCAAAGGTATGTAGCAAGGGTCTCTAAATGTGAAGGCCTTTGGCCAAATCTAGGCCTTTAAGGGATGCTTAATTCCTTTTCCAGTCTAGATGGAAAAGAGGTCTGGAGAAGGTGTGGTTAGTGTAAACAAGGCTTGCTGGCAGGCAGCTTTATTAGGGATGTGGTGCAGGTTCACCCCTAGGAAAGTAAGTTGCCAACCAGGAGCCAATATAGCATGCCCGATAAAGGAGTTGGTGGCAGTCCTTGGTGCTTACATGGGACCATTTTACCACAATAGGGTGGGGCTCAAGGCAGGCTGTGGCATTGTGCTGGCAGAAAGGGGCATGGTGCCTTATTTTGTGTGCTGCAGTGCTGACACGGTAAATCACAGGGGTGCAAAAATGTCTGCCTTTTTTGAGAGCAGACGTGTGGCTTATAAGCGCATCTCCTGTGTCTTTAACAAAATCCGGACACGGCTGTAGTCTGGCCGCTTTTGACCACGACACGGTAACTTCCATGCATGACAGTGCATTATACATATCGCAAGCCAAGTGAGGGAGGAATTTAAGGTGACTGTTCCATCAGTGCAAGAATTTCGGAGTGTTAGATGGAACCATTTCCTCTTGTCTCCCTCCCCCCCCCAGCACACTGCTCCCGATCACCCCTTGAAAGTGCACTGAGGAGGAGGAGGAGAAGCTCCTTTGCACAGGGCTTCTGCTAATTGGGCTCATTGGACTCCTACCATTTATGCTTGCACTAATTTTAATTGCTTTGGAAGAAATGGCTTCCTTTCCCCCCCTCTTGTTTCATAAGTAAACCAAAATAAACTTGACTGGAAAATTCCAGTATGCTTTTCAGAATGGTGTAAAATCCCAGTGATGTTATTTAGAAAGGTGCAAAGTAGTATAGCCACATGACTGGAGTCAGAGTTTTTAACTTGAGGTTGTATTTTTGTCTTAAACTTACATGACTGTTTAAGAAGGACCCATTTCCAAGTCACTCACTCGGAAATTTTTACAAACACTTTCAACGGAAGTTCTACCACAAAACTTTTTTTTAGACAAAGAGGCTGAGGTTGTACAACAGATGTTACTTCCAACAATATTAAATGTCATATAATCGTTTTTGTACAATTAAACTCGTTAATACATGGCATTTGGCTTCGTATGAAATACAAAATGTATTTCAGAGAGAAACATTAAAAGCAGGAATCTAGCTACCGCAGAATAGTCAAATGAGTAGTTTAAAACTTTTTCTACTACAGGGACTGCTAGTGGCATTTTGGTTTACTGAAGAGGTCCCCCTCCCGCACTCTGGAAGTCATTCCCCTTCAGCTCCTTCCCTACATTACTGCTAAAACAAAGTGCCCATCCACTTACAACATCAGAACTCTTCACAGTCTCTCACACAATACCATTTGTACCTAGACCCAAAGGAGAAGGTTAACCACTTAAAGTCTAAAGTATTTTACAGTGCAATCTTATACGTGTCAACTCAGAAGTAAGTCCTACTGAGTTCAATTGGGCTTACCCCCAAGTAAGTGGGTATAGGATTACAACCTAAGACTGGTCGAGGGTAATAGGGGAATAGGATTGAGATTTGGGGAGTTGTGGTTTTTTGTTGTTGGTGGTGGTGGTTGTTAATTACCTTATGTACAAACCTCTGCTAAATAAAACAGCCCTACATTGTCAACGCAGGTTTCTTATCAGAGTGAGAACAGCCCTGTCTCGCTTGTGATGTGTGCATATACACTGTGCTAAATTGCAGTCATCAGTTCCACAAGAACTCAGTTGTCTGAACGTTTTATTTCAGCCACCCTGAAGAAATCCTCTGTATTTCCTGGCTAGTAAGACACAATGTTTGGTATTTAAGGGACAGGGTTTTGTTTTCATTTGTGCTTGGAATTATGAATTTAGCTCCCTATAAATCCTTGAAGACTACTCTTCACCTGTTGCCTTTCAAGGGGAGGGATTATCCCCTGATAAGCAGTCATACAGAAGAGTCTCTGGTAGACTTTAGATGGCTAATCTTTGTCCTGCTAATGAGTGGATAAGTGGTGCAAAGACATCCTGCTGCTACGATGAGTCCTAAGCTGCACCAAGCACAGAATATAGACCAGCTGTATCCATGTTCCACGTCATCAGGAAGACCATAGATAAATTTGGGTAAGCGGTTTAGGTCATAGGAGACACTTGCTGCATAAGTGCAGAGAGAAATAGTGCAAAAGATGCCTGCAAAGGAGACAAAATCACAATGTCATGGTTACCAAATGTGCACAATCAGCAATTACTAACAGCTCAAAATAGCCCAGGATAAAATCATCAAAAGACATGCAAGGCAAATGAAAGATAGACAATTTTGAAACCAGAAGTCAATAGGTATTGTTTTCTTACAAGAGTGATGGTGAGCATGTTCCATGCACTTAGCCTGTCATCAGAATTTGAATAATTATTAAGCGCAATTATTAGGGTGACCAGATGACCTGCGGGGGTGGAGGAAGATAAATATCAGGCCCAGCAGCTTAAAAAGGTTTCACAGCCCTTCTCTGTAAAAAGACATGGGCAGAGTAGACAAAACAAACCCTTCGATGGTCTTTCCATTCTTTTGGCTTTCAGTAATTTGCAACGCTAAATTACTGACGCGGGTGGCGCTGTGGGTAAAAGCCTCAGCGCCTAGGGCTTGCCGATCGAAAGGTCGGCGGTTCGAATCCCCGCGGCGGGGTGCGCTCCCGTCGTTCGGTCCCAGCGCCTGCCCACCTAGCAGTTCGAAAGCACCCCCGGGTGCAAGTAGATAAATAGGGACCGCTTACTGGCGGGAAGGTAAACGGCGTTTCCGTGTGCGGCTCTGGCTCGCCAGAGCAGCGATGTCACGCTGGCCACGTGACCCGGAAGTGTCTCCGGACAGCGCTGGCCCCCGGCCTCTTGAGTGAGATGGGCGCACAACCCTAGAGTCTGGCAAGACTAGCCCGTACGGGCAGGGGTACCTTTACCTTTACCTTAATTTGCAACGCTAAGAAGCTTCCACCCCCTCTAAATGTCATTTTAGATTCTGCCTGAATAAGATTTTTTTTAAGTGGGAGGAGAGTGGGCAATGGATGAGAAATATTATGACTGTTTTTCAAGAAGGAAATGCTGGGAGATTTTACATTTTCCAGTCTAAGGCGTTAGCAAGCATCACAAGGTAAGCACAGCTTCCCATGTCGTCTAGAAGCACTAAAAGGTAAAGGTACCCCTGCCCATACGGGCCAGTCGTGTCCGACTCTAGGGTTGTGCGCCCATCTCACTTAAGAGGCCGGGGGCCAGCGCTGTCCGCAGACACTTCCGGGTCACGTGGCCAGCATGACGAAGCTGCTCTGGCGAGCCGGCACCAGCGCAGCACACGGAAACGCCGTTTACCTTCCTGCTATAAAGCGGTACCTATTTATCTACTTGCACTTAGGGATGCTTTTGAACTGCTGGGGGGGGCAGGAGCTGGGACCGAAAGACGGGAGCTCACCCCGCTGCGGGGATTCGAACCGCCGACCATACGATCGGCAAGTCATAGGCACTGAGGTTTTACCCACAGCGCCATCCGCATCCCTAGAAGCACTAGCAGTGTGTAAAAGAGGGTCATACATCTCACCCCACAACTTCCAGAGGTGTAGAGGCATTAGTGTCTAGCAGCATGAAAACAAATGGCTTAGGGAACCTTCAAGGCTTCACAGATTTACCATAAGTTTTTGTGGACTCTGATTCACAAAAGCTTTCAGCATAATAAATCTGTGAATTCTTCAAAGGTAAATTCATGGCTGTGTTCTATCTCCACTGTCAGAAACAGTATGTCTTTGAGTACCTGTGTTTGGGAATCACAAGTCCTGCTGCACTCAGATCCTGATTGTGGGCTTTCCATGGGCACCTGGGCACCCACTGTGAGAACAAGATGCTGAACAAGATGGGCCCTTGGTCTGATCCAGCAGGGCTCTTCCTATGTTTTTAAGACACCACAACCCTCTTTATTTTAGCTCTTCCACAGGAATTGTGCTTCCTGTTTAGGTCTGTTTACAGAATAAGCAGATGTGTTCCTTTGGTCTTAGGTAAGGTGTGGAGGTTCAGTCACCACCACCTTGAATTAGGGAAGCTTCCTAAATACACAGTCGCGTGTGTGTGTGTGTGCGCGCACACACACGGCAACACCAAGGAGGGGAATGTGAAACTTCAAAATGTTGCAGGGAATTTACTGGAAAATACAATTGCTCATAGTTAAAGCCATGGTTTTCCCAGTAGTGATGTATGGAAGTGAGAGCTGGACCATAAAGAAGGCTGATCGCCGAAGAATTGATGCTTTTGAATTATGGTGCTGGAGGAGACTCTTGAGAGTCCCATGGACTGCAAGAAGATCAAACGCATCCATTCTTAAGGAAATCAGACCTGAGTGCTCACTGGAAGGACAGATCGTGAAGTTGAGGCTCCAATACTTTGGCCACCTCATGAGAAGAGAAGACTCCCTGGAAAAGACCCTGATGTTGGGAAAGATGGAGGGCACTAGGAGAAGGGGACGACAGAGGATGAGATGGTTGGATAGTGTTCTCGAAGCTACAAACATGAGCCTGACCAAACTGCGGGAGGCAGTGGAAGACAGGAGTGCCTGGCGTGCTCTGGTCCATGGGGTCACGAAGAGTCGGACACGACTAAACGACTAAACAACAACAACAATTGCTCAACACACACATTTGTGGATGTATGATTGCTAAAGTGTGTTTGTGTAGAAAAGCACACTCTTTTTTTACATTTAGTATTTTTAAAGGCAGTCTTTTATCTTTTCCAGTGCCCTGACCATTGTACCTTTTGGTTAATTTTTCTACTTCCAGCATCTTTCTGTGGTTTCACCTCTCTCCCCCACTGCTACAAATTTGTATGGAAACCACAAATTCTATTAAAGATCCCTAGTTTCCCTATTAGAATTAAGATTATCAGATAAGGAAGAGGGAAGCAATCAAACCTGTTTACATTTGCAGTGCTGACCTGCCCAAAATGTGAAAACTCATTGGCCAGATTATGTGGTACAACTCTTCAACAGATGGGAGTAAAACCTGACACACATAAGGATATAGCAGGCAGAGCTGAAATAGTACCTGACATAAGGAAAAGGAGGCCGGCAACGTGCTGTGTGAGGCTTTCCTCCCAAAAGAAACTGACTGTAGTTACGATGCACCCACAGAGAAGAACAGCTGCTGCCATCCCAAGAAATCCTGCTGTGATTCTTCTTAGATCTGTTTCCAGAAGTGAGAGAGGACGAGGTTAAATATGCATCAGTAACACAATTTAAAATTCAGCCTTGGCAAACCGGGTTTCCTCCATGTTTTGAACTACAACTCATCAGTCCCTCCAGCAAAACTGATGGGAGCTGTAGCCCAAAACCTCTGGAGGGCGTCGAGTAGGCAAACACTGGTTTAATCATATGCCCATATTTCTGAGAACAAGCCCCTTGAACTCTGCTGGAATGGCTTCTGAATACAAAGAATTGCGCTTTAAGATATCCGTACATACCCACTATCAACAAAAAGTGAGACACGTTTTTCTGCAGCATACCAAAGTGTTTTCGCTAAGTGTAAAAAAATCACCCTTGATAAAACAGTTTCCTGGAAATGCATTGGGAACAATATCCATCTGTTTGGTGGTCTTTTCTCCCCTTTGATCTACAGATCGCCATTTGTGACGTACTAGTTATCATTGATCTCTCTTTACCACTGTTGCCCTAAAAAGTGTCAATCCATCCTGCCTGTCCCTTGTCTTCTCCCATTCCCTTTTAAAAAATAATAATACAATCAAAGTTAACGAAATTGTGCAGTGATGCATTTCTGGAAGTAATGAGGTTCTTTACTTTGCGTAGGCTATTGGGTATGGATCAGAGGAGAAATTTCCTGAGGCCTTTTCAATCCTTTTCTATTGCTGCTGGGCTTGATAACAAAAGCTGACTAGTTTTTGTCAAGTTGATTGATTACGCATGACCCCGCTAATTGGATTTACGATCCCCAATTAGCTCCGGCAGGTCCGGCACACTTCCTCTGAGCGCCTCTGCTCCTTCTGCCGCTCCAGTCACGCCGTAGCAGAGTTAACACAGCGGGAAAGCTATCACGTCCTTTGACAAACATACACAGTACAGGTTTGTCTATTTACAGTTGTTTATTCCAACAATTCTCCGGAAAATCCAGGACTACTTGCAGCCATGACAAACTGCGTCCTTTCCCCTCACAGCACAGAGAGGAACAGCAAACTCCTCCCAAACTCCTCCCAGCTTCGAAAGCTGACGTCAGAATGTTGTGGCATCATGGGAACAACTTAACCTGTTAAGTTCCAAACTCCACAGTTTTGCAAGATGATGCAGTTTCCTGACCTGGACTGCCATGGGGGGGGGGGATGTTATAATGGGTAAATAACAAAAGTTAGCATCATGAAAACCTAACTACTTACGTAACAGATGCCATTCATCTTGTTGGATGGTCTTGGTTAAATTGAACGGGATGTTGCGTAAGCGTATTGGTGGAGCGAAGTGGTATTTGATTGCCGTACATCTCTGAGTGATACCTTTACGAAAGGGAAGAGCAGAAATGCTTAACAAATTCCATTTAACGAGGATGAATGAGCAAAGCTCTTCAGCTGTAGGAATTTGCTGTTAATAATATGCAAGCAAAGGGCAAGCCATTGGGAAGAACTGGGTTCAAAGGAGGCCAATTCCTCACCACACAAAAATCCTTTTCCTTTCATTGGTGGAAGGGGAGGGTCTTGTGCAACAAAGAGGATCCTTTGTGGAAGGACTCAAGTCTTCAGAAGAGGCCAGTTAACATCTTTAATCAAAACAACTCTCTGTAGAAGAGGACAGTTCTCTGCCTCTCTCATACTAGCATACTGATCCTTTCTGCAATGAAGCTGTACATTATATTTCCCTTGGGTGCAATGAAGCTGTACATTATATTTCCCTTGGGTGCAAGATTTTTCTTTCACAGTGTAGGGGGTGCCAGTCCAAATCAGATGTCTGGCATGGATAGCCATTACTTTTTGCTGACAGGATTTCCCTGCAGCCCTGGAAGCAGCTTACACAATACCCCTTGCTGTGGCCCATGTCAATTTTGACTTGGGGCCAGTGGCGTACCAAGCCGCTTGGGTGCCCAGGGTGGCACCCACACTCTGCACCCAGGGCGAGCCACACACAGTGGGGAAGCCAGGGCAGGGCACGCTGTGTGATGCTTCCAAGGGGTCTGCCCGCTGCCTCCCCCTCAGCTGTAGGGCAGCTGAGGGGGAGATGGCAGGTGGACACAAGCCCCATGTTGCCATTTTGGGCAGCGCAAAGCTTGTATGTAGTCTGCCTGCCACATCTCCCTCAGCTGTAGGGTGGCTGAGGGGGGGCAGATGCAAGTCCCACACTACCGTTTCGGGCAGCACGGAGCCAGCAGGCACCCAAGCCACCGCGTCACTCGCAGGAGAGATACGTGGCTAGGGTGTATTGCAGGCCCCACAGTAAGTGCTGCCCCCCCCCACGGTGTGGCACCCAATGTGCCCGACACCCCTAGCTACTCCTCTGCTTGGGCAGAGAAAAGTGTGATCATCATTCTGGTCCCCTGATCATTTTGCAATACATCTAGACTCCCAGATACCCCTTACAGTATCCCGCTTTACAAACTGAGGAAATAATACAGTGAAATAGAACAGTGGTTCCCAGCCTCTTTGGTATGGTGGGCCCACAAGTCCAAATTCCCTTGGTATGATTAATTTTATTGCCACTTGAATTTTGGATGTTAGATCTTCAGCAGCTGTCGGTTTCATGCATTTTAACTGCAAGTTTGCCTATTTTCCTGGAGGCGCCCAAGCAAACATTTACTTAATGCCCATATTAAAATGGAATTTGCTGAAATATTTATAGTACTTACTAAGTTATTCACAGTTTTGTTTATGGAATGTAAGAACACCATCTGATTGCAGGATATTGCTGCATAAGCCACAAAGATTTATTCTAAGAACATACGGTTTACACATGCAATGTTAGATAAAATGAACTATGAATATTTTAAATAGTTTTATTCATGATAGGTCCATTTGGGCAAGTATCAGCATTAAGTGAAGCACCATTTTGGCAAGTGTCAGTGATAACAGGAGATAAGCTTGGATTTTGCCAACCAGTGGGTCAGTGAAAGAATTGATGGTTGGCAGACATAATCTCAGATCTTTATTGAGACATAGGGTAAAAATATTTCTTATTTTGAATGAGCAAACTTCAAATCACCCTTGACTATTAACTAGCCCTGGAAGCAAATTTGGTAATACTTTCCCACAAGGTGCTCATACAGGGAGTTTGGAGCCTGCTGTACATCAGAAGCGAGCTGCAATAGTCACTCACAACAACTTTATAAGTACCGTACTTTGTGGCCAACTCTTACCAAATCCACTACCTAATTAATCCAGAGCCTCACGCTGGGGTGTTCTTGCAAACATGGGATTTGTTTGTTTGTTAAATTTAAATATCCAAGGATAACAGTGCAGTTTACAGTAAAAAAACACAAAAATACGTAACATAATGAAACAAAACAAAAAGCCACACACATACACAGTTTAAAAGGCCATAGATGGTTTAATTATCCAAAGGCCTGGGAGGAGAGGAATGTTTTTGCCTTGCGTCTTCATTGCAAATCTTTAGGTGCCAGTCAAGCCTCCCTCAAAGCATACCACAAATGAGGAGCCACCACAGAAAAGGCCCATTCTTGTGTTGCCGCCCTCCAGACTCCTTGTGGAGGCACACAAAAGAAGGGCCTCAGATTATTATTGCAAGGTCCAGATCTGTGACATGTATATTGTGCAACACAAGTCATTTAAGCTTCTTGCTACTTGCCGCATTGTTTCCAGCCCTATGCCCTTAAATTCTCAACTAGAGCTCTGCAACCATGAAACCTAAAAAGACCTATTGGCCCTGATTCAACTTACATTGCAGGCAACTATTGGCACTTCACAATCCCAGAGGCAGATTCTCATCCTTAACTATTAGAAAAATGCACCAAGCCTGTTCAGTAGGGCCCACTTGAGGACTGTAATTCAGATGGAGATAGGCATGCTGATTAATGCATTATTATTCACTGTGCAAGTGGAAGGCTGGTTTCTTCTCAGTGTAAAAGAACTCCCAAGATGGATTAGGACAATTGACTTCAACAAAAGAACTAAATTTATGTGTTCTATTTTCTCCCCTTGAAAATCATGGGCTTGAAAATGCTTGCTTCTTGGCTAGACTATTTCCTTAGAATTTTAAAATATGAAATATGTGATTGTCAGGATTGTGTAGGGGTGAGGACAGACCTCACAGCTAATGCAGGAAAACCACCTACAAGTCTCTCCTTGACTTGTAAGCATTCAGCCAAACCTGAATGGGAAGACTCTAGTGAAAAGGAGGAGTAGACTGGAAGTATGACAATAAAATGGAGGTGGGAGGAAGAACGGCTTAAATCAATAGTGTCAATTTTGTCCCTCAAAAAAGCTCTGCAGGTTTTGTCACAACAACTCTAGGAAGGAGAGGCAAGAAAAAGATCAGCCCATTCAGGACTTTTTGGGTGCTTCCAGGCAGTCACTATTTTTGGGTGGGATTCAGTTACATACCAGAAAATGTGGGTTGTGCAATTGTAGTTATTTGGGATGCCCTGGGCAACAAACCCACTTCCTCCAAAAGGGGGAACTTTCTGTGATAAGGGAGGTGATGGGGAGATGCACAGGAAAGTGTGGGGTAACACTTGCTTTCGTGCCACATCATCTAACCTCATAAACAAATCAGAATGCATGCTTAGCAAACATCATCTAATCTCCCTACAAACAAATCAAGATGAATGTTCAATAAACAGGTCACCTGGAAACCCCTTTTTTCCAAGTTTACTTAAGCACCCTCACACAAAGCCAGGATGTGCTGCTAGATCACATAATTTCATTACCTATTTATTCTACTTTTAAATGTTAATTCTGACAATGCCCAAAATATAGAGCTGGGCCTTGGGGGGAGTTAGCTATTGTTCACCAAGAACAGGCCTTATATGCTGAAAGCACCATGATTAATTCCCGGTTTTTCCAGTTAAAAGGAATTCAGGTAGACAGCTGTGGAAATATCCTTGCCTGAAGCCTTGGGAGAGCTGCTACCAGTCAGATGAGATGACAATATTCCATAAACAAGAAATAAAGAGTCAAGGACTGAGAAAATGTCAACACTGTGCATTGAAAGCATTATTGTAACACTTTAATGTCATGGCTTCCCCCAAAGAATCCTGGGAACTGTAGTTTGATAATGGTGCTGAGATGAGACCCCCTTGTCCCCTCACAGAGATAATATATTCTGAGTGGGAATCATAGCTCTGTGAGGGGAATAGGGGTCTCCTAACAACTGTTAGCTTATTTGGGGGAAGACATAATTGTTTAAAGTGATACGGCTTTAAATGTAAGGTTCTAGATGTGGGAGCTGTAGCACAGCAACACCTGGGAGGGCCATGGGTTCTCCACCTCTAATTTATGGCTTCCACAAGAATCAACACAAATAGGCAGTTATAAGGTAGATGTTTAGATAGGCAAGGTGTTGTGTATTGATTGGCCTAAACTTGTTGGTAGGTTAAGAACCAGCAAGCCAATCTACAAAACATTCCCAAACTCTTCCCCAATAAAAATTAATGGACAATTCTCCCTCCGATAAATTTATCACCTGTTAACAAAGATCCAGAATCTTGCCAGAGTTCAGATTTGGTCTGTTAACTCACTCTCACCTGCCAAGAATTTTGAGCTTAAACTGTTTGTGACATCATTCATGACAGCAGAATGTTATGTTTGCATTCAGCTCAAGCTATCTCCATGCCAACAGCATTGGACAGTAATAAATCCCTGTTACTAGAGAGCCATCAATGCAAGACTCTCCAGCAAATTTTATTGTTGCTTTCATGCCCTATGCCTGATTTAAGAGCTGTGTGTGGCTGGCCTGAAAGCCTGTTTCCAGAAGTTTATAATAGAATTGATCCAATATATCCAAAGTTATTTGATAACCTCTCTTGTGAATAAACTCACCTCCAATCCCCACTTCCTTTCATCCATTTATAGCATTTATATAATTCAGAATACCTTAAAATCCTTTTGAAAAGTCCAGTATGTCTAGACTGTGTTCCAGGCTTCTTTGCCATTTCGCATGTGGAAGTTGTTGGCTCACCAAATAATGTTACTGGCAGTGTGTGTGGGGGTGTCAAAAGGCCTCTTCATTCCCAAACACTTCCCCTATAATAAAATTGAATATAGCCCCAATATATATTCATCACCTGCCATGATGATCCATCTTGACAGAGTTCAGATGTGGGTTGACTGTTAACTGCCTCACATTGCCAAGACTTTTGAGCATAACTTGCTTATGACATCATGTGTGACATCAGAATGTCCATATTTGCATTCTACTCAGGCTATCTCCATGCCAACAGGGATGGCCAGTAAACCTTTGCAACTAGAGACCCATCAGCCTGAATATCCAATATCTGTGGGTTATTGTTTATGCCTCCTTGTTGGCATCTGTCTGCCTCAAGAGACAATTG